CCCCACGGGGCTGCGCCGCGGAGCCCCCTACCCGCCCCACGCGGGGCACCTGGAGGTGCTGCCCACCCCCGGCCACACGGGGAGCGACGTCAGCCTGCTGGTGCGGGGCACCGCCCTGGGGAGCGTGGTGGTGGCCGGAGACCTGTTCGAGCACCAGGACGACGAGGGGGAGTGGGCGGCCCTGAGCGAAGACCCCGCCCGGCAGGCGGAGAGCCGCGCCCGCGTCCTGGGCATCGCTGACGTCATTGTGCCCGGCCACGGGCCCCCCTTCCAGGTCTTCAGGGAGGGGGCAGGTCCTTCGGCTGACGGAAACGCTCAATAAAGGGTTGGATCACGGAGAGTGGTGGACCCTTCCTGACTAAGCAGCTGGGGGTCCGGTAGTAACCCTCCTGCTTGTGGGGTGTTTATCGGTCCCAGAAGGCTGTGGGGGTAGGGGCGTCTGGGCTAGGGAGACTTACTTTTATGACCAGGACACCCCCTTCCTCGGCTGCCGACTAACAGGCGCTGGACCTCTTTCGGGCTTTTTACAGGCTCGGATGCTGTAGCAGGAACCAGCGACGAATGATGCTTGACCCGTGGCCCAGTTGAGAGGGAAATGAAGGTGCCTCTGGGTCAGAATGGCTGCTGGTTACTTGAAACGATGGCCTGGTCCAAAATGACAAGGTGTGGCCAGCTAAAAAGAGTTGCAGTTTTGGGCTGGGCTCAGGTTTGGTGATGTTTGGTGGTCATGTCTTCTGTTGGAGGATTCCCTCCAGGGAACTCTGGAATCCCTTTGGATCAGCTTGTATCCCGGTTGGCTAAGTGCCAGAGGATTGGAGGATACAAGTGGCACGCGGGGAATGGTCACAGCACGGGAGAATGGGTTCAGTCTTGGGTCACTCGTGGAAACCGCCTGGACTTTTGTACTCGGAGGACAATATCCTGCTTTGCGGTCTGGGTGGGTCAGAGAATGCTGCCTTCTCCTCCCCCTCTGCTCCTACAGACATCTGCCATCCAGGCCCTGAAGGCAGTTTACAAAATCTGTTGAATTCCACCAGTCCCTTTTGGGGTTTGTTCCAAAGTGAATTTCTGGCGATCTTGGTGGAGGAAAGCAGCGGTCTTGATGCTTGTTCTGTGACTCTGTGCAAGTATGAGAGGCCAGGCAGGGAAGCATGGATCCACTCCTCTAATGGCCAGTTCTTTCCTTCTCTTTGCCCACAGAAGAGCATGGTGTGCCTCTTCCCCACTGCTGACCATTTCCTCGTGCTTACTGATGGCATGGGAGGGGTGAGCCCGTGGAGAAAACCTTCGGAGGGCCCTGCCTCCTGTTTCCTATCCATGCATCCCAGTTTGGGGTGAAGGAAGGGTGTCAGTGCCTCCTTCCTTGGCCGGGTAAGCCATCCTTGCCTGCTGCAACCCACTGGGTGCTGCCGTGGGCCATTGTTTTGGCCTCTGCACCGCCTCAGTTGTGGCAACCTTCTGGCCTTCGAAGAACAGAAGATCCCATTTCAGCCGTGTCTGGGGCAGCTGTTCAAAGTGGGGGCTCCATGGTGGTAGACTTATGGTTAAGGATGTGGCAGAGAGGGGCTGGTGGACCCGAAACAGGGATCCTGCCAAATGTGGGGGCTAGACAGAGATTTCAAGACAGCCCCACAGATCATTCTGTCTCCCAACATACTTGGCCAACTGGCCCTAAACGAGGATTTCCAATACTGCAGTTTCGTTACTGTGCTTGGATTTTATTTGGAAGGATTCATGTTCCAAAAGGTGAGAAGTTTCCCCTGGTTGCTATAGGAATGCTGTAGGGTGGCTCCTCTGATTGGGCTTCTGCATAGTTTACAGACTGTTGAAAGGAGAATCAGATCGGTTGTGGATTCAGAGGGCAGGTGGGTGGGTTTTGGATACTGGGTTGGGTGGGAGAGCCCTCTGTCTCTGCGGGTTCCGGTCCCGGCCACCTGCCAGGCAGCTGGTGCTCTGGGTTCTGCAGGAGCCCCTGCCATCCGTGTCCCACAGCCCGACTCCTTGTCCTTGCTGCAGGATCTAGTGTAGAAGGGGAAAAGTGTGCTATGGCACCTGCCAGGGAATCCCCACGTCTTGCAGTTCCTCTTGGTTCCCCTACAGCTCCCTCTTCCCCACAGCCCTTCCAGGAGATGAACGCAAGGGTGCCCCAAGCCCAAACCTTTCTCAGTGACTTTGGGCAGCTCACTGGCTCTGTCCCTGGTCTCCCCTCCCCCTGTTCTGCTACCAGCCGGTGGGGGGACAGGGTCTAGGGGTTGGCCTTGTCAGGATCTGGAAGGGGGGACACATTCAGTTATTTAGGAAGGCGGACTTTGAACGTGGTTTTGGAAGGTCTTGCCAAAAGGGCATTGTTTTCTAAGTGCCGAGTTGCTGGCTGGCCACCTTCAGACAGGCAGGCCATTTGTAGACAGTGCCCAGGGAGCCCTGGTATTATTTTGAAACTGTGGCCAAGGTGTAACGAGCTGCCACCTGTTGATCCCAAATCCAGTAACTTTCCTTGCAACCAATATTGA